ATCTTGGAGTTATCTTTAAATTTGTCATTTAACTCCCACATGAAGCAGACCTCCAGGACTGCCTTCTTTCATTTACGTAATATTACAAAAATTAGACACATACTATCACAGACAGATGCAGAAAAACTAATCCATGCATTTGTTACTTCAAGGCTGGATTACTGCAACTCTTTATTATCAGGTTGCCCCAATAAGTCCATTAAGACGCTCCAATTAATTCAGAACACTGCAGCACGAGTACTGACAGGAACTAGAAAAAGAGATCACATCTCTCCTGTACTAGCTACTCTGCATTGGCTCCCTATAAAATGTAGAATAGAATTTAAAATCCTCCTCCTCACCTATAAAGCTCTTCATGGTCAGGCCCCTTCATATCTTAAAGAGCTCATAGTACCCTATTACCCCTCTAGAACACTATGTTCTCTGAATGCTGGTCTACTTGTGGTTCCTATAGTCTCTAAAAGTAGAACAGGAGCCAGAGCCTTCAGTTACCAAGCTCCTCTCCTGTGGAACCAGCTTCCAGTTGTGGTTCTGGAGGCAGACACCCTCACCACATTCAAGAGTAGGCTTAAGACATTCCTCTTTGATAAAGCTTATAGTTAGGGCTGGATCAGGTGAGTCCTGAACCATCCCTTAGTTATGCTGCTATAGGCCTAGACTATCGGGGGATTTCCCATGGTGCACTGAGCTCCTCTCTTCCTCTCTCTTTCTGCACTCATTCATGTCCCATTAATGCATGTTACTAACTTCACTTCTTCCCCGGAGTTCTTGTGCTTTCTCGTCTCGCAGGTTCTTGTCGATCCTGGTGGAGCCTCCTGCCATGGTCCTGCTAGATAGTGAATGAGTCCTAGGTTTCTGCCTTTTAACAGGCAGTTTTTCCTTGCCCTTGTCTCCAAGTGCTTGCTCATGGTGGTACTGTTGGGTCTCCGTAAATAATGTTATAAAGAGTTCGGTCTAGACCTGCTCTATTTGAAAAGTGTCCTGAGATAACTTCTGTTTTGAATTGGCGCTATACAAATAAAATTGAAATTGAAATTGAAATTGTTTGTAACCAGGCTTAGGTTAGGTGACTAGGTTTCTAGCTAACAGATTTTATTATTTGAAGCTAGCTGTTTGTAGCTAACAGATTTTATTGTTGGAAGCTAGCTGTGTATAGCTAACAAACTTTAAGTTAGGTTTCTACCTGGCAGTTTGTGAACAACACAGCTGTTCTCTGCTGTTAGCTCTGCGTTAGCTCAGTTTTCATGCTACAATAACGTAACTGAAAACAAGAGGTGCGCAAACTGTCTCTGCAGGGGAACAGATCAGTCCACACTGATATGGCGGCTGGAGGGTAAACAGGCTCAGACATGCTGATATGTTTGTTGAGTTCCTGAAATAAAAACTGAAGTCTGTTATCCCTGAGAGCATCAGAGCTGAAACTGTCTCAGCACAGACAGGTTGGAATCTAAAGACTCCAGCAGGAGTATAATCCACTTACAGGAACGCTGACTGCCCCGCAGGAGGGCAACTGCTGCCATGGCAACAGTAGGAGGAGGCTGGTCACCTTGGACGCGAGCAGGATGTGGATGAAGTCGCAGCTGTGTGAAGTTTCTGAGAGTTTCATCAGACTGAAACGTCCTTCAGGCTTAAACACATCAGTGTTTCCTCACATTATTAAACCCCGACAAGGGTCAAAGGTTTAGCTTTTGTTCACATTTTCCCCCAAAAATGTATATATGACAGTGTATATACTGACAGTATTTATAATGAATGTATATATAATAACTGTATATATAATGATAGTATATATAATAACTTTATATATAATGACAGTGTATATAATGACTGTATATATAATGACAGTATATATAATGACAGTATATATAAGGACATTGTATATAAGGACAGTATTTATAATGAATGTATATATAATAACTGTATATATAATGATAGTATATATAATAACTTTATATATAATGACAGTGTATATAATTACTGTATATATAATGACAGTATATATAATGACAGTATATATAATGACAGTGTATATAATGACTGTATATATAATGACTGTGTATATAATGACAGTATATATAATAACAGTGTATATAATGACTGTATATATAATGACAGTATATATAATGACAGTTTATATAATGACAGTATATATAATGACAGTATATATAATAACAGTGTATATAATGACAGTATATATAATGACAGTTTATATAATGACAGTATATATAATGACTGTATATATAATAACAGTGTATATAATGACAATATATATAATGACTGTATATATAATGACAGTATGTATAATGACTGTATATATAATGACAGTGTATATAATGACTGTATATATAATGATAGTATATATAATAACAGTGTATATAATGACTGTATATATAATGACAGTATATATAATGACATTTTATGCAATGACTGTATATATAATGACAGTATATATAATGACAGTGTATATAATGACTGTGTATATAATGACTGTATATATTATGACAGTATATATAATGACAGTGTATATAATGACTGTGTATATAATGACTGTATATATTATGACAGTATATATAATGACAGTATGTATAATGACTGTGTATATAATGACTGTATATATAATGACAGTAAATATAATGACAGTGTATATAATGACTGTGTATATAATGACTGTATATATAATGACAGTATGTATAATGACTGTGTATATAATGACTGTGTATATAATGACTGTGTATATAATGACAGTGTATATAATGACTGTATATATAATGACTGTGTATATAATGACAATATATATAATGACTGTATATATAATGACAGTATGTATAATGACTGTATATATAATGACAGTGTATATAATGACTGTATATATAATGATAGTATATATAATAACAGTGTATATAATGACTGTATATATAATGACATTTTATGCAATGACTGTATATATAATGACAGTATATATAATGACTGTGTATATAATGACTGTATATATAATGACTGTATATATAATGACTGTGTATATAATGACAATATATATAATGACTGTATATATAATGACAGTATGTATAATGACTGTATATATAATGACAGTGTATATAATGACTGTATATATAATGATAGTATATATAATAACAGTGTATATAATGACTGTATATATAATGACAGTATATATAATGACATTTTATGCAATGACTGTATATATAATGACAGTATATATAATGACAGTGTATATAATGACTGTGTATATAATGACTGTATATATAATGACAGTATATATAATGACAGTGTATATAATGACTGTGTATATAATGACTGTATATATTATGACAGTATATATAATGACAGTATGTATAATGACTGTGTATATAATGACTGTATATATAATGACAGTATATATAATGACAGTGTATATAATGACTGTGTATATAATGACTGTATATATAATGACAGTATATATAATGACTGTGTATATAATGACTGTGTATATAATGACAATGTATATAATGACAATGTATATAATGACAGTGTATATAATGACTGTATATATAATGACTGTGTATATAATGACTGTATATATAATGACTGTGTATATAATGACTGTATATAAAATGATAGTATATATAATAACAGTGTATATAATGACTGTATATATAATGACAGTATATATAATGACAGTGTATATAATGACTGTGTATATAATGACTGTATATATTATGACAGTATATATAATGACAGTAGTATAATGACTGTAATAATGACTGTATATATAATGACAGTATATATAATGACAGTGTATATAATGACTGTGTATATAATGACTGTATATAAATGACAGTATATATAATGACTGTGTATATAATGACAATGTATATAATGACAATGTATATAATGACAGTGTATATAATGACTGTGTATATAATGACTGTATATATTATGACAGTATATATAATGACAGTATGTATAATGACTGTGTATATAATGACTGTATATATAATGACAGTATATATAATGACAGTGTATATAATGACTGTGTATATAATGACTGTATATATAATGACAGTATATATAATGACTGTGTATATAATGACTGTGTATATAATGACAATGTATATAATGACAATGTATATAATGACAGTGTATATAATGACTGTATATATAATGACTGTGTATATAATGACTGTATATATAATGACTGTGTATATAATGACTGTATATAAAATGATAGTATATATAATAACAGTGTATATAATGACTGTATATATAATGACAGTATATATAATGACAGTGTATATAATGACTGTGTATATAATGACTGTATATATTATGACAGTATATATAATGACAGTATGTATAATGACGTGTATAAATACTGTATATATAATGACAGTATATATAATGACAGTGTATATAATGACTGTGTATATAATGACTGTATATATAATGACAGTATATATAATGACTGTGTATATAATGACAATGTATATAATGACAATGTATATAATGACAGTGTATATAATGACTGTATATATAATGACTGTGTATATAATGACTGTATATATAATGACTGTGTATATAATGACTGTATATATAATGACTGTGTATATAATGACTGTTTATATTATGACAGTATATATAATGACAGTATGTATAATGACTGTGTATATAATGACTGTATATATAATGACAGTATATATAATGACTGTGTATATAATGACTGTATATATAATGACTGTATATATAATGACTGTATATATAATGACAGTGTATATAATGACAGTGTATATAATGACTGTGTATATAATGACAGTATATATAATGACTGTGTATATAATGACAATGTATATAATGACAATGTATATAATGACAGTGTATATAATGACTGTGTATATAATGACTGTATATATAATGACTGCATATATAATGACTGTATATATAATTTGTCTCACTCATATAATTCAGTTACCAGGAATATTAAAGTGTATCAGAGGATCAGTTCTTACCTTCATCTGACAGCCTCCTCCTCCTCCTCCTCCTCCTCCTCTGAAATATTCACCACAGCTCCGGCAGTGTTTGCTCCCGTCAGCACATCCACACATGAACTCTACAGGTTATTTTAGAGTTTGTGTCTGAAGCTGCAGACGGACGAGGAGGAGACCCGTCACCCCCCCTCCTCCTCTTCAGCGAGCTCCCTCCCCCTGCAGACTCTGACATACACACACACACACACACACACACACACACACACACACACACACACACACAGAGAGATGGAGGAGGAGGAGGAGGAGGAGCTGGTTGGTCTCCTGCTGTTTGTCTGCTGTTAAATTAAACAACACTGATTTACATCTGCAGTCAGGTGTTAATAAGTGTTGATTGGACTCACAAACACCATCAGTGTCACTGTGAACACGGTCTGCTGCTCACCACAATCTATCACGTTTATTGATCTGTTCAATCAGATATCAACTGCTTCAAGGCCAAAGAGCAGCCTGAACAGGTGAGTTTACAGTCCAACAGGTGAGTTTACAATCTGAACAGGTAAGTTTACAGCCTGAACAGGTGAGTTTACAGGTGATGACCTCTGCAGCCTCTATAGGTTTGAATGTTCTTGTTGAGGTTCTTTATATAAAACACTAAAACCTGAGACTCTTTCCCGCTCTCTCTCTTCAGACAACGTTTCCCAGAATGCTCTGCTCCTTCCTCTACCTGATGATCTACACAGATCTGTTATGTCTGAAGCCCGTCTGTGTGTATCAGTTCCCAGCATGCCGAGTGTGCTCGTGTTCCTGCAAGTCTGTTTGTTAACAGCTTGTGTAAATGAATCAGATCTGACCTCAGATCAGGTCTCCACCCTGCAGGCTGAGACTCGTCCTCAGGTGTTTTCAGGTGAAGAGGTGGAGACAGTCTGACTGAGTCTATAAGACCTCTAGAACCTCCTTTAAGATCACTGGAACCTCCTATGAGATCACTCGAACCTCCTATAAGACCTCTAGAACCTCCTTTAAGATCACTAGAACCTCCTATGAGATCACTCGAACCTCCTATAAGACCTCTAGAACCTCCTTTAAGATCACTAGAACCTCCTATGAGATCACTCGAACCTCCTACAAGACCTCTAGAACCTCCTTTAAGATCACTAGAACCTCCTATGAGATCACAAGAACCTCCTATAAGATCACTAGAACCTCCTATAAGACCTCTAGAACCTCCTTTAAGATCACTGGAACCTCCTATGAGATCCCTCGAACCTCCTATAAGGCCTCTAGAACCTCCTTTAAGATCACTAGAACCTCCTATGAGATCACTCGAACCTCCTATAATACCTCTAGAACCTCCTTTAAGATCACCAGAACCTCCTATGAGATCACTCGAACCTCCTATAAGATCTCTAGAACCTCCTTTAAGATCACCAGAACCTCCTATGAGATCACTAGAACCTCCTATAAGATCATTAGAACCTCCAAACACAGATCAGAACACAGATCAGAACAGATATTGATTATATATTGATGTGAACGTATTGATAATATATTGGTGTGAACGTATTGATTATATATTGGTGTGAACGTATTGATTACATATTGATGTGAACGTATTGATTATATATCGCAGGTTCTTATCGATCCTGGTGGAGCCTCCTGCCATGGTCCTGCTAGATTGCCATTACCAATACTGTTGTTGCTGTGCACCTGTCTGTCTGTCTGTCTCCCTCTCTGTCTCTCTCTCTGTCTCTGTCTCTCTCTCTCTCTCACCCCAACTGGTCGAGACAGACGACCACCCACCTAGAGCCGAAGGATCTGTCCTAGGTTTCTGCCTTTTAACAAGCAGTTTTTCCTTGCCCTTGTCGCCAAGGTCTTGCTCATGGTGGTACTGTTGGGTCTCTGTAAATAATGTTATAAAGAGTTCGGTCTAGACCTGCTCTATTTGAAAAGTGTCCTGAGATCACTTCTGTTATGAATTGGTGCTATACAAATAAAATTGAATTGAACTGAATTGAATTGAATTGAATATTGGTGTGAACGTATTGATAATATATTGGTGTGAACGTATTGATAATATATTGGTGTGAACGTATTGATTATATTTTGATGTGAATGTATCGATATATATTGGTATGAACGTATTGATTACATATTGATGTGAACGTATTGATAATATATTGGTATGAACGTATTGATTACATATTGATGTGAACGTATTGATAATATATTGGTGTGAACGTATTGATTACATATTGATGTGAACGTATTGATAATATATTGGTGTGAACGTATTGATTACATATTGATGTGAACGTATTGATAATATATTGGTGTGAACGTATTGATTACATATTGATGTGAACGTATTGATAATATATTGGTGTGAAAGTATTGATTACATATTGATGTGAACGTATTGATAATATATTGGTGTGAACGTATTGATTACATATTGATGTGAACATATTGATAACATATTGGTGTGAACATATTGATTATACACTGGTGTATGATAAAGTATATATCCAGTATGATAAAGATAATAATTCTCAGAGGAAGCGAAGTTCCACATGCCCTAGCCAGTTACACCCTCCACCCTGTCTGCTTCCTCCAGCGCAGGAAAATGTGTCAACGGGAGTGTGAAGCATCATGGGACATTAAAACTTAGTTTTAATTAATAAATAAAATGTTCATGTCTCAGTCATATGTAAGTGGTCGGACCTGCTGTTTGAAAAGGGTCCTGAGATAACCTTTGTTAGGAGTTGGTGCTACACAAAGAAACTGAGCTGAATGGAAAATATTAAGTTTTTTCTCATCTTTAAGCAGCAGGATTTATTATTTGTCTTTTGATTGTGTCTGTGGTTGTTTCTCTTGTTTGTTGTTTGTTTTATGAGAATGAAACCATACGTCTCAAAGAAAGCTCTCTACCAATCAATAACCAATAATCAGTTGAGATGATTTTGTTCTGGTTTCAGGACCACCCCGGTTTGGTTTTCTGGTTTGTTGGACCTTCATCTGTAACTGGATCTTTCTGTCACATCGTTTGGAAGCTAAATCTGACCTTCGGCCGGCGTTCGACCGCCGCTTGGGGGGGTTGCAGGGGTGCAGTGTGTGTTTGTCTGTGTGTGTGTGTTTGTGTGTGTGTGTGTGTGTGTGTGTGTGTGTGTGTGTGGGGGGGTGTTGAGGGGTTGATGAGGGTCTAACCTGCTGAATGAAGTGTAGCAGGAGCAGCTGGGAGATTCCTCTCCGCTCTAAACCACCTGCCTCACAATACCCCTCTGTTTATACAGGGAGAAGAATGGACAGTGGGGGGGGGGGTAAGCCTTGACCCCTCGATCACCACAGCAGCTGAGGAGACACCCCCGCCCCCCCCCGGTTTACCATTCAGATGGAGATTCAGGAGTCACATATTTCCTTTCATTCCTTTGTTCTTCTATTTCCTTCCCTAACTTCTTGTTTCCTTCTTCACTACCTCCTTCTTCCCCACAATCCCTCCTCTTTCACACACACACACACACACACACACACACACACACACACACATTCAATTCATGCCAAATAAGGAGTCAGACTGTTGAACATTGTGTGACTTCTGACCTTCAATTGCAGTGATAATAAAGTTGTGTGTCTGTACAGTGATAATAAAGTTGTGTGTTTCTACAGTGTTAATAAAGTTGTGTGTTTGTACAGTGATAATAAAGTTGTGTGTCTGTACAGTGTTAATAAAGTTGTGTGTTTGTACAGTGTTAATAAAGTTGTGTGTTTGTACAGTGTTAATAAAGTTGTGTTTGTACAGTGTTAATAAAGTTGTGTTTGTACAGTGATAATAAAGTTGTGTGTCTGTACAGTGTTAATAAAGTTGTGTCTGTACAGTGATAATAAAGTTGTGTTTGTACAGTGTTAATAAAGTTGTGTGTTTGTACAGTGTTAATAAAGTTGTGTGTCTGTACAGTGATAATAAAGTTGTGTGTTTGTACAGTGTTAATAAAGTTGTGTGTCTGTACAGTGTTAATAAAGTTGTGTTTGTACAGTGTTAATAAAGTTGTGTGTCTGTACAGTGTTAATAAAGTTGTGTTTGTACAGTGTTAATAAAGTTGTGTTTGTACAGTGTTAATAAAGTTGTGTGTTTGTACAGTGATAATAAAGTTGTGTGTTTGTACAGTGTTAATAAAGTTGTGTTTGTACAGTGTTAATAAAGTTGTGTTTGTACAGTGTTAATAAAGTTGTGTGTTTGTACAGTGTTAATAAAGTTGTGTGTTTGTACAGTGATAATAAAGTTTTGTTTGTACAGTGTTAATAAAGTTGTGTGTTTGTACAGTGTTAATAAAGTTGTGTGTTTGTACAGTGTTAATAAAGTTGTGTTTGTACAGTGTTAATAAAGTTGTGTTTGTACAGTGATAATAAAGTTTTGTGTCTGTACAGTTTTAATAAAGTTGTGTGTTTGTACAGTGATAATAAAGTTGTGTGTTTGTACAGTGTTAATAAAGTTGTGTGTTTGTACAGTGTTAATAAAGTTGTGTGTTTGTACAGTGTTAATAAAGTTGTGTGTTTGTACAGTGTTAATAAAGTTGTGTGTTTGTACAGTGTTAATAAAGTTGTGTGTTTGTACAGTGTTAATAAAGTTGTGTGTTTGTACAGTGTTAATAAAGTTGTGTGTTTGTACAGTGTTAATAAAGTTGTGTGTTTGTACAGTGTTAATAAAGTTGTGTGTTTGTACAGTGTTAATAAAGTTGTGTGTTTGTACAGTGTTAATAAAGTTGTGTGTTTGTACAGTGTTAATAAAGTTGTGTGTTTGTACAGTGTTAATAAAGTTGTGTGTTTGTACAGTGTTAATAAAGTTGTGTGTTTGTACAGTGATAATAAAGTTGTGTGTTTGTACAGTGTTAATAAAGTTGTGTGTTTGTACAGTGTTAATAAAGTTGTGTGTTTGTACAGTGTTAATAAAGTTGTGTGTTTGTACAGTGTTAATAAAGTTGTGTGTTTGTACAGTGTTAATAAAGTTGTGTGTTTGTACAGTGTTAATAAAGTTGTGTGTTTGTACAGTGTTAATAAAGTTGTGTGTTTGTACAGTGTTAATAAAGTTGTGTGTTTGTACAGTGTTAATAAAGTTGTGTGTTTGTACAGTGTTAATAA